CGGTATGCGGGCCTCTCACTGTTGTGGCCTCTCCCGCTGTGGAGCACAGGCTCCGGACGCACAGGCTCAGCGGCCGTGGCTCACGGGCCTAGCCGCTCCATGGCATGTGGGATCTTCCCGGACCGGGGCACAAACCCGTGTCCCCTGCATCGGCAGGCGGGCTCTCAACCACTGCGCCACCAGGGAAGCCCCCTGCATGTATTTTTTGAACTCAGTGTTACTTGGTTTAGCCCTTTTCTGAGCCTGGCTACCTGGTCTTCCTATGAATTTTGATAGTTGCTCCAAATCCTTCCAAATACATTGCTGTTTGCATGAGTTAGCTAAATTCTTCTGCTATGGTTTCTAGCAATATATTTGACTAATAAACTCTCTTTTAACGTTCATTCTCTCATCTTTCCCTCCTATTATACCAAGTAGGAATAATTGGCTAATTCTCCCATCTGGGCCTAGAAATCTTTCTTTTCCACCTTTTCTGGAATTTTCTCACTTTGAGTGTCCTCCCTCCCATACACATTAGCAAGTGTTGATGCTAACCAACACCTCCTGTTGGTGCTTTCCTCTGCCCTTTGGTATAGGGCAGTCTTTTGGCCCACCCTCTGTGTCTTTGACCTCATTCCTCTGTCTTCATCACTTCCTCATCCTTCCTGTTTACACCCATCTCAGGGCTTCTTCTTCCTTATTCACAAACTCCCTTGTTTATTAAATTGTATATCATCTGAAGCACCTGTTCCAAATGTGATGTCTTTGGCTAACTGCAGCCCTGCTCCAAGGCTCAGCCCAAGACTGGCTGTTCCTCTGTCTCAAAACTCCATCCGAAACCATTCTGTCTCATCAAGATGTCTCTTTATCTCTGGACCCAACCTCTCTCTTGTGTATTTCAACATAGTTACCATCTTTTCTACAAATATTGATTGTATCATTGTTACCCTAATCCATTTGTACTGAAGTCTCAGAAGCACCTTTGGTACATTCCTAATGCCCACCAAGCTTCACCTTCAACATTTCTCATCTCTATTCCTTCCTTTTCATCTCTCTATCACTTCCTTCTTTCAGACCATCTTCATTTGACATTAGGATAATTTCTAAAACAATTATCTTTCTTTTAATGACCTTTGCTCTAGTTTTTCTTGCACACAGACAATAAAGATTAACGATCAAAAATACAATGAACACAATATGAATATTTAATAATTAGGTACTCATTTACCTTAAGATAAACATTATGCTTTTTCAAATTATCATCATGTTATTCCAGCATGAATTACTTTGTGAGAAGCTGATCGCTAAGCACCAAGTGTGAATTGATTCTCTCTCTGATACTATTGGGCATAGTAGAGGGATTTTTTGGAAGTCAAAATTTTGTTCTATAGAGAACTTTGTCTTATTCAGAGTCAATGGCTAAGACATGCCCCCATAGCTAAGCAGCTGGAGTTTAGAATTGGAAAGGACCTTGAAGATTATTTAGGTCAATTGCCTCAATAAGTAAGAAAACTGAAACATAAAAATGGTAAAGTCATTTGTCAAAAGCAGAGCTACGGGAGGAGGCAGGGAGGGACGCGAGCGGCGCGCCGCGGCGGGCTGGGCGCTCGGAGGCCGTGGAGCCCGGCCGGAGCCCAAAGTTTGCGCGCAGCCGCCGGGCGGCGGCGCGCGGGGGCCGGGACAGCCCTGCGCGCCGCCCTCGCCCCGCTGGCGCCGCCCCGCCGCGCCGAGGGTCGCGGGCGGCCAGGCGGAGGCGGCCGGGAGCGGCGCTGCGGCAGCTTTGGAGTTGGGCACCATGCTGAGCCCGAGGAGGGGGCTGCTGGGGACGACGGCCCCGTGACCGTGACCGGCCGCCGCTTCTCACCTGGGTCCTCTCGGTCCAGCCAGGCGGCCACCAGACACCCAGAGCCCCAGAAAATCCCCGACAGGTGCCGCGGCCCAGTCCACGCGATTTGAAGACGGCAGGAAGGAACCGATGGCTTTAGCGGTCGGCCCAGATTCCTTTCTGCACCATCCATACTACCAGGACCAGGTGGAGCAGACATCTCCTCGCCGTCCTGGAAATCTGGCAGGACCCGGCTTCCCAGCGCCGCCTCACCGGCTGGCGAATCACCAAGGCGTCTGCTGCAGGAGGACCAGCAGTTGAGGACGTCGTCTCCGCCGGCCATCCCCGACCCCTTCCCCGAGCTCTGCGGCCCCGGGAGCCCCCCCACTCCCCACCCCTGCGCTCACGCCGGGCTCCTTACCTCCTGGCCCGGCTGCTGCAAAGCAGGATGTTAAAGTCTTTAGCGAAGAGGGGACGAGCAAAGTGGTGGAGATTCTGGCGGACACGACAGCCAGGGACCTGTGCCAGTTGCTGGTTTACAGAAGTCACTGTGTGGACGACAACAGCTGGACTCTGGTGGAGCACCACCCGCACCTGGGATCAGAAAGGTGCTTGGAAGACCATGAGCTTGTGGTCCAGGTAGAGAGCAGCATGGCAAGTGAAAGTAAAGTTTTATTCAGGAAGAATTATGCAAAATACGAATTTTAAAAAAATACCACGAATTTCTTCTCAGAACAGATGGTTACCTGGTGCCAGCAGTCAAACGGCAGTCAGACCCAGCTTTTGCAGAATTTTTTAAACTCCAGTAGTTGTCCTGAGATTCAAGGGTTTTTGCACGTGAAGGAGCTGGGAAGGAAGTCGTGGAAGAAGCTGTACGTGTGTTTGCGGCGATCCGGCCTCTATTGCTCCACAAAGGGAGCTTCAAAGGAGCCCAGACACTTGCAGCTGCTGGCCAACTTGGAGGACAGCTGCATCTTCTCCCTGATGGCCGGCAGGAAGCAGTACGGTGCCCCCACAGACTACGGCTTCTGCATAAAGCCAAACAGAGTCAGGAACGAGGCCAAGGAGCTGCAGTTGCTCTGTGCCGAGGACGAGCAGAGCGGACGTGCTGGATGACGGCCTTCAGGCTCCTCAAGTATGGAATGCTCCTTTACCAGAACTACAGAATCCCTCATCAGAGGAAGGCCGTGCTGTCCCCCTTCTCAACTCCAGTGCACAGTGTCTCTGATAACTCCCTTGTGGACATGGATTTTTCTGGGCAAACGGGAAGAGTGATCAAGAATCCGGCTGAGGCTCGGAGTGCAGCCCTGGAAGAAGGCCACGCCTGGAGGAAGCGAAGCAAGCGGATGAATATCCTTGAGAGCCAAAGCCCCCTCCACCCTTCCAGCCTAAGTACAGTGATTCACAGGACGAAGCACTGGTTTCACGGCAGGATCTCCAGGGAGGAGTCACGCCGGATCGTTAAGCAGCAGGGGCTTGTGGGTGGGCTTTTTCTCCTCCGTGACAGCCAGAGTAATCCAAAGGCATTTGTCGGGCTTCCCTGGTGGCGCAGTGGTTGAAAGTCCGCTTGCCGACACAGGGGACACAGGTTCGTGTCCCGGTCCAGGAAGATCCCGCATGCTGCGGAGTGGCTGGGCCCGTGAGCCATGGCCGCTGAGCCTGCGTGTCCGGAGCCTGTGCTCTGCAACGGGAGAGGCCACAGCAGTGAGAGGCCCGCGTACCACAAAAACAAACAAACAAAAAAACACAAAGGCATTTGTCCTCACATTGTGTCATCATCAGAAAATTAAAAATGTCCAGATCTTACCTTGCGAGGATGACAGGCAGACCTTCTTCAGGCTTGACGACGGGAACACCAAATTCTCTGACCTGATCCAGCTTGTTGACTTTTACCAGCTGCACAAAGGGGTCCTGCCTTGCAGACTGAAGCACCACTGCATCGGCGTAGCCTTATGACCTCAGGTCTACCTTGGCTGCAGGCTGGAGGACGCTGACACTGGAGTGAAGAGGTCTGTGCATCATTCAGAACACACGTCTGTCTGCACCTTGGGGCTCGAAGCAAGATGGGTGTGTTCGGCGCTGACCGACCACGATCGACTGGTTTGTTGGACTTGACGATGATTTGCTGCTGCAGGTCCAGCAGGGCCGCGCCCCTCTCGCTGGCCTCATGGGGAGGTTGGAAGACAGCAGACTCGAGAATAAACTGGAATGATGTTCTTGGCTGGGCCATGGAGGAACACAAGCTGGAGATAAGTGATTGGAAATAAACTCTCGCCCTGGAATAATCTTGACAATTAAAACTTATATGTTAAAAAAAAAGCAGAGCTAAAATTTAACTCCCCGCCAGTTGCCTCCCATTCCTTTATTTATTTTTATTGTTTAAATTGTGTTTTAAAAACACATAACATAAAACTACTTTTTGTCTGTTTCTCTTTTTTCTGTTTTTTGATTCTATTTGTTCATTTTTAATTGAATGAAAGATTCTTTAGGTTCTATAGTGCTTTACAATTTTCAAAAGTCTCACACACATGATTTCATATAGTCCCATAATAATCCTTCTTTTTTCCCCCTACCCCTATATTGCCCCTTCCCCCTTCCCTCTCCCCACTGGTAACCACTAGTTTGTTCTCTATGTCTGTGAGTCTGCTTTTTTTTGTTTTATTCACTAGTTGGTTGTATTTATTAGATTCTACATATAAGTGATATCATACAGTATTTGTCTTTCTCTACCTGACTTATTATACCTAGTATAATGCCCTCCAAGTCCACGCATGTTGCCAAAAATGGTAAAATTTCATTCTTTTTATGGCTGAGTAGTATTCCATTGTATATGTATATACATATATATGTCATATGTACATACATATATATGTGATACATATATGTGATATATATATGTATATATATCACATCATCTTTATCCATTCATCAGTTGATGGACACTTAGGTTGCTTCCTTACCCTGGCAATTATAAATAATGCTGCTATAAACATTGTGGTGTATGTATCTTTCCGAATTAGTGGTTTTGTTTCTTTCAGATATATACCCAGGAGTGGAATTCCTGGGTCATAGGGTATTCTATTTTTAGGTTTTTGAGAAAACTCCATACTGTTTTCCACAGTGACTGTACCAATTTACATTCTCACCAACAGTGTACGAGGATTCTCTTTTCTCCACATCCTACCAACATTTGTTATTTGTGTTTTATTTTAAGATAGCCATTCTGACTGGTGTGAGGTAATATCTCATTGTGGTTTTGATTTGCATTTCCCTGATGAGTAGCGATATTGAACATCTTTTCACATGCCTGTTGTCCATCTGCATTTCCTTTTTTGGAAAAACATCCATTCAATTCTTCTGCCCATTTTTTATTGGGTTGTTTGGGTTTTTTTTGATGTTGAGTTGTATGAGCCATTTATATATGTTGGATATTAACCCCTTAACCATCAAATCATTTGCAAAGATTTTCTCCCATTCAGTAAGTTGTTTCCTTTGCTGTGCAAAAGCTTTTAAGTTTAATTTGGTCCCATTTGTTTAGTTTTGCTTTTATTTCCTTTACTTGGATCCAGAGAGATATTGCTGTGATTTATGTCAAAGAGTGTTCTGCCTATGTTTATCTCTAGTTTTATAGTACCTAGTCTTACATTTAGGTATTTAATCAATTTTTAGCTTATTTTTGCATATGGTGTTAAAGAATGTTCTAGTTTCATTCTTTTACATGTAATTGTCCAGTTTTCCTGGCACCAGTTATTGAGAAAACTGTCTTTTCCCCATTGTATGTTCTTGTTTCCTTTGTCGTAGATTAATTGAGCATAAATATGTGGGTTTATTTCTGGGCTCTCTATTCTGTTCCATTGATCTATGTGTCTGTTTTTTTTTGCCAATACCATAATGTGTTGATTACTGTAGCTTTGTAGTATACACTGAAGTCAGGGAGCGAGTGATTCTTCCAGCTTTGTTCTTCTTTCTCAAGGTTGTTTTGGCTATTTGGGGTCTTTTGGGTTTCTATACAAATTTTTAAATTATTTGTTCTAGTCCTTTGAAAAGTGTCATTGGTATTTTGATAAGCATTCCATTAATCTGTAGATTGCCTTGGGTAGTATAGTCATTTTGACAAATGATTCTTCCAATCCAAGAACATGGTATATCTTTCCATGTTTGTGTAGTCTTCAACTTCTTTCATCAGTGTCTTATAGTTTTCCAAGTACATGTCTTTTGCCTCCTTAGGTAGGTTTATTCCTAGGCATTTTATTCTTGTTGATGCAACGGTAAATGGGATTGTTTCCTTAATTTCTCTTTCTGCTAGTGTTGTTAATGTATAGAAATGCAACAGATTTCTGTGTATTAATTTTGTATCCTGCAACTTTTCTGCATTCACTGATGAGCTCTAGTAGTTTTCTGGTGGCATCTTTAGGATTCTCTATGTATAGTATCATGTCATCTGCAAACAGTGACTGTTTTACTTCTTCCTTTCCAGTTTGGGTTTATTTTATTTGTTTTTCTTCTCTGATTGCTGTGGCTAGGATTTCCAAAACTGTTGAATAAAAGTGGTGAGAGTGGACATCCCTGTCTTGTTCCTGATCTTAGAGAAAATGCTTTCAGCTTTTCACTGTTGATTATGATGTTATCTGTGGGTTTGTCATATATGGCCTTTATTACATTGAGGTATGTTCCTTCTGTGCCCACTTTCTGGAGAGTTTTTATCATAAATTAATATTGAACTTTATCAAAACTTTTTATGCATCTATTGAGATGCTCATATAGTTTTTATTCTTCAATTTGTTGATGTGCTGTATTGAATTGGTTTATTTGTGGATATTGAAAAATCCTTGCATCCCTGGGATAAATTCTACTTGATCATGGTGTATGATCTTTTTAATGTATTGTTGCATTCAATTTGCTAGTATTTTGTTGAGGATTTTTGCATCTATTTTCATCAGTGATATTGGCCTGTAATTTCTTTTTTTGTGGTATCTTTGTCTGGTTTTGTTATCCAGTGATGCTTATCTCATAGAATAAGTTCAGAAATGTTCCTTCCTCTGCAATTTTTTGGACTATTTTCAGAAGGATAGGTGTTAACTCTTCTCTAAATGTTTGGTAGAATTCACCTGTGAAGCCATTTGGTCCTGGACTTTTGTTTTTTGGGAGTTTTTAAAATTACTGATTCAGTTTCGCTACTGGTTATTGGTCTGTTCACATTTTCTGTTTCTTCCCAGTTCAGTTTTGGGAGATTATACTTTTCTAAGAATTTACCTGTTTCTTCTAGGTTGTCCATTTTATTGGCATATAGTTGTTCATAGTAGTCTCTTATCCTCCTTTGTATTTCTGTGGTATTGGTGGGGACTTCTTTTTAATTTTGATTTTATTGATTTGGGCCCTCTCCCTTTTTTTTTTCTTGATGCATCTGCTAGAGGTTTATCAATTTTCTTTATCTTTTCAAGGAACCAGCTTTTAGTTTTATTGATATTTTCTATTGTTTTTCAGGTCTCTATTTCATTTATTTCTACTCTGATCTTCATGATTTCTTTCCTTGTGCTAACGTTGGGTTTTGTTTGTTCTTCTTTCTCTAGTTTCTTTAGGTATAAGATTAGGTTGTTTAAGTTGAAAAACAGCCAGGAGAATAATACTTCCCTGGTTGTTTTAAGAATTGAAAAAGCATATAAAATATCTTCTCAAGCTATTTTACTATAAAGTGATGTGGATCACAAGACCAAATTAAGTTAGAAAAAAATCAACTAAAATGAGTTTGTCATTTGTCTGTAAGCATGGCTGTATGGAAGAAATAGAGGCCAGAATAAAATCAGAAAAAAAGAGAGGGAAGGATTCATTTACTCATCTGTATAGATTTATTTCAAGTAAACTTCTAGGACAGTGCTTTTCAAACTTTAGTATGCATCACCTGAAGGGATTGTTAAAACACAGATATTTATCACCCTCCTCTCCACCTTTCTGATTCTATAGTTTGGTGTTGGTGCCAGGATTTTTCATTTCAAAGAAGATGAGAGTAATGTTGAGACTGATGATCATAGTACCAAAATTTGGGAACCACTGCCATGACAGTGATTCTCAATGTTGATTGTACCTTGGGATCACCTGGGGAGCCTTAAAAGATACTGGTGCCTGGGCCCCACCCTCAGAGCTTCCGATTTCATGATCTGAATATCAGGAGTTTTAAAAGTTTCCCAGGTGATTTTAATGTGCAAAAGTTAAAAATAACTTCCCCAGGGAATATCAGTTCTGATATATACTTTAGAAAAGAGGCATTCAATTATTCATACAATAAATATCAATTGAATATTCACTATAACCCCAGCCCTATGCTAGGTGCTTGGGATAGAGACATAAATAAGGCAGGGAGAAATACTGCCACCATGATACCTAATGAAACGACCAGCTATCAATGAACGTACGCACAGACAGTTGCTAAGGACTGTATGTGGAGGGCAATGAGGTTTAAGTGAGAAAAGGCTTAAGGACCAGAACTTAGTTTTGAAGAATGAGCATGTTCTATGGGCAGAGAACAGGGGTAAGAACATTTCAAGGAGATTCCTGGTTTGGGAATGGACACTGTGTTCACAGGTGTACTCAGGTAGCCAGAGCCTGGCATAAGTGGTAGGTAAGGAAGTAGGGGAAGTGGTCTAGAATCAGGTTTACATGCTCAGACTTCATTCTATGGGCCTTGGAGAGGTAGCTGAAGATTCTAGGAAGAAAGTTATACAAATAGATTTGATCACCAGCTACATCAAGAGGCTGGAAGATCTACCTGAGAAATGTATTCCAGATAGAATAATCTCTATTTTGAGATTATATCTAGAATATTCTCCAGATAGACATAATCAAGACACCAGAACATCCTAGAAAAATAGAATGATCAAGGCACCGCTTCCTTCTCTTTAGCTAACGTCCAAACTTCTGATTTGACTTTTGAAGGAAAAGAAGGATGCTTTTGTTTCCCTTCCAAGTCTACCTGTTTTAGACTTTGAAAATATGGGTAGAAAAAGAGTTAATGGGGAGAAAGAAGACACCAGAAAACAGGAAAAGAGAGGGAAATGGGACAGAAATGATACTGATGTTTGAACCAGCACAGAAGTGGTTGATTAAAATTAATGCTGTGAAAACAAGTTTCCCATCTGTTCCTGGTCCTCCTTTGAAACCCGTACCCCAGGACGGCCAAAGGCCATATCCAGTGGCCTGCACTGCCACCTTCAGGCAGAAGTGCTGAAACAGTGACAGTGACTCTCTGCCTGAATTTTATCCTTGGCTTTGGACATAACCAGAATATGCCTTGTATCCCATCTGCTTGACCTCAAGGTGGGCCATCATATTATTTCTTAGTTCTTTATATGTCCATCTAGCTTTTAAATGACTATTTTTCATGAATCTTAAAAGGTACTTCTTTCCCCTACATTTTTACATTTCT